CGTCCTTCTTGTAGTGAGGGGCCCAAAACTGAACACAGTACTTGAGGTGCGGCCTCACCAGTGCCGAGTACAGGGGCACTATCACCTCCCTGATCCTGCTGGCCACACTATTTCTGACACAAGCCAGGATGCTGTTGGCCTTCTTGGCCACCTGGGCACACTGCTGGCTCATATGCAGCCGGCTCACTTGCAGTGCAATTCTTGCTAGTCTCAATGTTGGTTATCTTCTGGAATGAATAAGGAAGAATAGTCTTTACTCTTAGAAAATTTTAGTCTAGTAGTTGACACGACAGAAAAAAGCTTAAGGGAGATGAAATAGCTGGTTCAGTACTCATGGGGGAAAAAGTAATTTGTTCTGTTTTATTTTCTTTGAAATGTTTTTTCATGTTTTAACATTCCTCAGCTATCATCTTGATGTGGTATAACATGAGTCACTGAACTAAGCATGCAGATTCCAATTTGCACTAGTCCTGTATTAAAGGACAGCTCAGAAAAGTTGGTGATCAACTAGAATTTTAGAAACTTTCCGTGCATCACTGGTGTCCTGCATCGTCAGGATTACCTGGAGCATTCAGCAACAAAATAGCTGGCTGGTTATGTACCTGTGTTCTGTCGCAGCACACGCTGTGTACACGCTGCCGTGGGGATTCTGCGTTTCCCCGTTGGTTATCTCTAACCCTACCCGGGAACTGCAGTCCTTAAAATCCCACCAGCTGTGTGCCTCTGCCTCTTGACACGTGCATGTTCCCCCTGGTTTGACTTCATGTAGTAAGCGAGTGTGCCAGTAGCCCTTGTGAGCTGGCATTTATCATGACAAACCAGTCTCACGATTACTTTGAATTTTGTTTGAAACCTAAAGTCCAATACTGTTTGGATTCAGCAACTATTGCCTGTATCTAGGCTGTGTTGAACTCAGCTCAGAGGATGGATAGTCTGATGCAGGGGGAGGTGGGTGATGTGAAGTTGGTGGAAAGGAGCAGCTCCTGCTTTTTCAGCTTCTGGATTGCAAGGTTTAAGTGGATCAATGGAAGTCAAGGTGGTGGTAATTCTTGTAAATGTAAAACTGCAGGCACACAGCTCCTATAGGGCTATCAGCTAAATGCTGCTTTGTCTTGATCTAATACTCTACACCTGCTTCAGCTGGAGGTTGGCTAGGTATGAAATTACTCAGGAGATCCTCTGCTTTAACTAGATACCCTGTCTTTTTGCTTACAAAACCAACTCTTCTCCTTTCATAGGTCCAGTGAATAGAAATGTTTCTCTGTAGGTCAGAATGAATTGGCTTGTCATGCATTTGTATATAAATTGGTGACTGTTTGTATTCTAAAATAAATAGTGTCGCATATATGAAGCCTGGTACTCTGGGACTGCTGGGGGGGAAAGAGCTTCGCAATTTTCCTCACTTGAGTTCTGAGTAAGATTGGCCTAAGTAAATCTGGCAAGTCTTTTCAGTGACAAAAACTTCTTGCACTTCTCATAGCAGAACTCATACTTGAAAGAATTATGTTGCCATAGTAGTTATTTCATGTCCTTTCAGCTGGTTGCTTGAAGGATTAAAACTGCTCTGAACTTCAGCTTGTTTTGAGATCAGATGACTTCAGTTCTGGCATAATTTAAAATGTTGATTTCCACCCCCACTCCACCACCCCTGAGTTAGACTTGTCTGTGATTGTACACCTCTGGGTAACTTTACTAACTCCTATTTTTCTATAACTTCCTAAAGAACTTTATTTTTTTTTTTCCAGAGGGTGTTATATCAAGTTGCACTCTCGGAATGCTGCAGTGTCAATCTTTCTCATGTGGTGTCCTCCCCACATAAAGCTGTATTTTGAACTGTCCTTACTGAACTTACAGACAAGCAAAAAAAAAAACCAGACAACCAACCCCACCAAACAAAAAACCACCAAAACCCAAAAACACCACACAACCCCAGGGTTGAAATCTCCAGCTTTCAGTGCTCATTCTGAGGAGGGAAGATATAGAAAGGTGACAGAAGGCTATTTTTTGCTACAACAACAGTAATTTGGACTGTAGCAGAGCTGCCCCATTGCCGAGGGTGACCAGACTGCTGTAGAGGTTTGCTTTGTCCTCGTGGGAACAGAGAAACCTTGCAGACTTGTTAGAGCAAAGTGTCCGAAGAATTGGGGTACAAGAGCATGTACAGTGTGGCAGGTGACTAAACTTCATGAATGCTGCTCTTTGGTTATAGTCCATTAGTTAGTGTTTTTGAGTTTGGGGGTTTTCCAATTGTTGTATATGATTTTAATAATGGAATGAATTTTATTTAGGTATCGGACTCCTCCAGGACGCCTTTGCTACAAGGTGTGATTATGGCCTTCTTTTAATGCAACTTTATGAATCATCTTATGGTTTCTTGTTTTCTTTTTTCCCTTCTGCTTCCTCTTTTCATTCTTTTTTGTGTCTATCTTCTTTTTAATTTTTCTTTTTAATTCAATAGAAGAGGGTAGAAGTGAAGACAAGCTATAAATCTGGTTTTATGCTTAGGTGGGTGGGGTTTTTTTCTTTCTTTAAAGGAATACAGGAAAACTTAATATAAAGTACCAATGGAGCCATGATTCCTAAGTCTGAAGGCAGGTTTTGTATGCCTCTCTACTCTATAATTTCCCAAATCCCTAGGAGTGTCTTCAAGTATTTAGAACTGGTGTTAGTTCCTCTACTGTTACCTATATGGAAGTACTTCACCTAATTTTTCTGTGCCACTGCATTGACGTGAAAACCTGCTTAGTGCTAAACAATTTTGTTGTCCTCTGTTATAATGTTCAACAGTATAATTTGCTTTTAATAACCATGTCTAGAGTCCCTCTATCATCCTATTACTCAACAGTATACTTTATCCCCTGCTACCCGCAGTGCCTGCAGTAAGATGGGGAGCAAGGAGTCGGACCAGCTTTTGTGGCCTTGCTGCTGCACAGCTTCTAGACTGCAGTGAGAAGGTTTAACCTTAATAGGCTATAGCTCATGACTGCTAACACTGATGGTATTTATTTTAGCTGTCCACTGTCTTAAGCACAGCGTGGAGAGAGCAACGCGAGCTTTCAAATTTCAACTTCTTGCAGAATTTAAGCATTTAAATATAATCTTGAATTATAGTCATCGGTCTAGAGTTATATGTCTATTTATAAAGCACAGCTTGTCTGCCCTATACACTGAAGACAATTTGAGATGGTGAACTCTGCCTGACTGGGTCTTAAATTCTGAACTAAAAAGTACTTTTCTCATTAGCTTCTTTCGTCTAATAAAGAGTACTTTAACAATTCACGTCTCATTAAAAAGCCTTAATAATAAAGAAATTACATACAAACGCAAGAAGAGGTTAGGAAGTACCAGGGATTGAGTGCAAATTAAAATCAGATGGCCAGACTGCAATTTTATAACTTAAAATCCTTCTCTCCTGCTGTGTGCACTCAAGTTCTTGGGTAGGATTGTTAACATCAGTTTTTCAATTTCTCCTTTACACGTATGGGAAATACTTGACTCCCTAAGATAGCTCTGAGGTCCCATAATTCTTAGCTGAGAGCATTTCTGTTTCCGCATAATGATGCAGCCTGAAATTCTAGTTATGCTCTGTGTGGCTTTTTTATGGAGTAGTCTTGAGCTGTAATGGGTTGCTGCACAGGAAAACATTTTAACTATTCACTAAAGCACAGGGATTTCTTGGGAGAGCAACGTACCTACTTTTTTACCACCAAATGGGCAGTATCGCTGCTGTGAAGTGTATAATAAAGGTTTTTCTAGGTTTTCTGGATTGCTTATAGTCCTCCTGTATGCCTGCACGGTAAACTAATTTGATGCTTATTTCCCAGTTATTGATTTAATTCAAAAATACTCTTGTTTTTCATATCAGTACAATCTATGAAATGATCTTAGTAACATGAAAAATCTAGTGGACTAATGCAACTCTGAAGTCTTCTAGATAGAATAGTCTTGCAACTATTTAGAGTTTGTCAATTTGAAGTGTTTAGCAAGCTTTATCTCTCTTTGAAAGAATAAATCAACAGATTTGTCATTGGCATGTTACGCAGCATGCACCTGCTGTTTAGTACTGCAATTTTAAATAGCATTTTTTAGATACTTGCAAATTAATCGTAGCTGTAAGTTGTTAAGAATTATGTGAATGCAACATCATCAGAGTGAATCTTGCAGTCAAGTGTGTGCATAGCTGCTATGAACTCTTTCACAGGTAGAAGTTTGTATTGGCGTTTCCAGTTTGGCTCTGTGTGTGTGGTTTTTGGTGGGGTTTTTTTGGTTTGGTTTTGTTTTTAATAGTTCGCCATGTCAGGAGATAGGTTAAACAGCTTTGTAACTACAATACATTTCTATCTTGACATCTCCCCTTAAAAACTGTCAGGAATTCAGATGTGGGAGAAAAGCTTCTCAATCTCTTCCACTTCAAAAATGTTCATCAGCTCTCCCCAATGTATGGTCTGCTTCCTTTGGCTCTTTTGAGGCTTGAAACAACAGCTTTGTCCAGGATTTTAGCACGGTGCCTTCATTTTGCTGCTGGTTGTTGTAAAGATTCCTGCAGCTTTGTGCTGAGGCTTTGAGGATGGGGTTGTCCTGAGAGAACCTAATACGCTTGTGGAAAAACCTGCTTAATGCAATCTTACACTTTTCAAAAGGCATCTGTTGTCCCCGATTTCAAGTTGCGGGCTATCCTCCTTCTGTATGGTAGAGAGGTTAGAAATGGGGTGGGGTGGCTTTTTTTTTTTTGCCTTGTAACATTTATGTCTGTCAAAAAAACCCAAACATGCTTTATACTGTACTAGCCATTTGGTTTTCAAGTTAACTTAAAAATCTGATATATTAAGCAGAGACTTTAAAATTTAAATACAGGTGGTATCTCCAGCATAAGTACATTTTGTGCTACTTACCTTGGTGTAGGATTAAGAGAAGAATCTTTGACTTTGGGATACACTGAATTGTTGCAAATAGCGTTAATTCTTCCTTCTGGAAGCATCTTGTTAATTTAATAGGGGAACGTTTTACAAAAACGCTTACCCAAACTACCTGCTTTATGCCAGCTGTTAGATGGTGCCTAGGGTGAAGGAAGGTACCTGGCATTACTTGATGCAATGTGGTACTGTGGGGGGGTTTGTTGTTGTTGTTTTTTCCTGGAACAAATACTTCAATCCTCATTCAAAATGACAGTTTGACTTCTGTAATTGTAGGGAGTGTTTTGTTTTGGGTGACTTTTGATGTGGGTTTTTGATCACAGTGCTGGGGGACAGTTATAGATATACTGAAGTGAATGCAAGATTGTCATTAGCCCGGGAGCTTGGTATTCACTGCTGGACTGAGTGCATGCTATTGCTGTAACTCGGTACTTAGGTGTATCAGCAAGGCTAGTGCCTGCCTTAATTCTTCGTGTCTTAGTTCTGACACGTGAAGGGAGGGATGTGAAAGTCCTTTTCTGGTTTTAGTCAGATTGATACTGTGGCCACGAGGCTCTCCTAAGCCTTAGGTAAGTCCCAGTGACTTGTTTCTGCCTTGGACCTGTCATCTCAACTCACTGCATGGCATGCTTCTGCGTCTGGGTTGGGAAACAGCTTGTTTAAGCAAACCTGCTTTTAATAAGGTATGTTTGTATAGCTTGCAGTGAAACAATTGTGTTTGTGTGACAGCGGGTATGCACAGAGGTGGGTCATGGCTAGAGAAGAAGAGAGAAGTTAATGGAACTACTCTCTTTGCCCTATATATAGAATTATACCACGCTAAAGTGCGTACGACACAACAGTGTTGGAGCCTGGCTTTGTCTTGCCAAGGATCCTCCAGCGGGTGCTAGTAAGACAAGAAAGCAATCGTGCCCTGCTAGCATGGAAACCTGCCCTGCTCACCCACGCGGTGAGCAGCTGTTTTACAGAAAGACAGGGAGCCTTGTTACTACTAGGCAGGATACGCCGCTGCGGAAGAACGTATGTAGGGTTTTCTGCCTTCTGATGCTGAAAGCAGTATGCCTTTGTCCTAATAATCCTGCCACCTGGGCATATGAGCTCCTTGACATGTTCTGTTTTTCAGCATTAGTTTTACTACTTCCATATCTTCTGTCTCTGGTTGTCAGCTGTCAAAGCTGTCCAGTCCTTGGCCTCTTGTTAATTATGCTTCCTTCTGAAGCCCTCAAACTGATGGGTCTCAGTTTGTCATGCTAACAAATGTGTGTATTACCTCTGTTATTTACTCAATGCCTTGTCCCAGGGAGGAGACCAGAGCCTTCATTGCCCTTTAGGAATACAGCAATGGATAGGGAAACAGGCTGCTTTTTAGTCAGGAAAAGTACAGTATTGTCTTGTGTTACTCAGATGACCTAATCATTTACATTAATTGGAAGGTATAATCAGTCTATATAATCTGGTTTAGAGCCTCTTCGGTTACGGGACTTTACAATTCCATTTCCTTTATCCTTTTTAAAATAAAAGGAAAACTTACAAAGAAGTGTTGCCAATACAGTTAGTTTTTACTACTGTAATATAGCTAGCTTTAACTGTCATGAAAAGAGAAAGCTAGTCTTTTCTATTCTAGCTATTGCTTGCTACCTGTGAACGTTAGGTAGGATCCTAGGGTCTATTTCCAGTTCTCCAAACCGTGTCTGAAAAATTTGCTTAACCCCAATCGTTTCGTTTTTTTTCTCTGTATTTAATAATTGAAACACTTTTGACTCATAAGTTTAATTTCTTGTAGAGGACTTGGATCCTTGGTTGGAGAATGCTTTTGTAGTGGAAAGCATTAGCTAAGACAGCTTTGATTATTTGGCTTGAATACTTTTCTGATCTATAGAGGACTTCCTATCTCTATGCTGCTAAAAGGCACGCTAACACGTTTAATTATATTTCTCTTAGCTAACAAATACTTTGGACCAATGGGGGAAAAGCAATATTTATAAAGAGCCATCTCTTTTTTTTTTTTTTTTCTTTTTATATTCAGATGATGGAACACCTGGATTATACAGGAAATGAAGAAACCACAGCATCAGCCAGTGAACAGCCTGGAGGACAATAACATGCAGGATCCTGATTTAAAATAGTATTCAAATTTTCTACAAAGGAATTAGAGTAAATTTGGTGAAGTTTTACAACAGAGTATTTCCTACTCTGTGTAAAAGGGTTTTTTTACTCCCGCACCTATATTTTTATGGAAAATATTGTTAATAACATAAAAGTAATCAAAATAGACTTGCATTTTTACAGCCAAACCATAGCTAGTAAAACCGTGCCTTATTTCAATTTAAATAAAAGGATATTTTCTATGCAATTTCCCAAATGTGTTTCTATACAGTATATTTTTATAAAAGTTTCTTGCCCATATCAGTTTGATGCGTGAAATGTTTTCTTAATTTTGATTAAGACTAGTCAAGTTTCACTAAAAAAAAAAAAAAAAGTACAGTACCCTTCATAGGATTCCTTTCCAGATTTTGAATGCAAAGATTGGTAGTAATGTAACTACAGCAACTGAAGAATGAAACTCTAGAACTCTAGTTCCATTACTACAAGTAATTGAATAAACAGTGTGTATGATAGTCTGTGTACATTGTAAGCCATAAAATAGGTAACAGGGCAAATTTAGCTTGGGGTTGTGAGCTCCCCCCTCCCCATAGTATCACTGGCTTATGCCTTAATTGTGGAAATTGTTAAGCTTTGATGCAAGTCTTTTGGATTATATACACCGCCAGCTATTTAAAAAAAAAAATAAAAGGGGGGAGGTACTTACACAGTTGTCCTGGAAACTTAGGTGCAGCTCCTGGAATAGTTGACAAACAAGATGGTTCGAAAGGCAAGAGGGTTTTTGCTCAAGAAGTGCTATTGGGTGGGGGGTGTGCGTGTGAAATGTTAACTCTGGCCTGATTCTTCTCCTGCCCATTGAGACTGGGTCTGTATTTGTCGTCTTTGGCTGTGGATCAGTTCAAAGGGATGGGGGAAGACAGGACAGATTTTTTTTTTTTTTTTTTAGCTCTTGCATCTACACCGTACTTTTTTTTCTGAAAACTATTTTTGAAAATTCTTTGCAATTGATAGACAAAACAACAGATTTGAATAGTGCTAGTAGTGCCTGTGTTAGTTAAGGCCAATGCATGTGTTTAACTGTTTAATCTTAATTTGTTTTATCTTTTAAAGACTTGGAAAAGGAGAAATAGTTTAAATCATTAGTTTGTATTTAGAAGAGTTTGAGTTTGTTTGACACCTTTTCTTTTTTCAGGAAACTGCAAATTGAGGGGGATTAGGCATAGAAAATCTGTACAGCTGTAATGCTAACAGTTTACACCAAAGAAAATTGGAGAAGGCAACAACAGGAAACCCCTGAGTTCACTTAGTGCTAACGTCAGGTAGTCGTTAAAACATTTTTCCTATTCTTTAAATGAATGTCATTCCTATAGTCAGTACCAGTTCAAGAACCCTGGAGAAAACAAGTGAATAAGCACATGCTGGGCAATGGCAACGGCAACGCAGGCTTTCCTGCAGTGCCTCATGTAAGTGCCTCAGTGTTCACCTGATGGTCACCTCCAGACATTTATAGTTAGTTTGGGGCATGTTGGCTCAGGAAAACTTACCCAGATTAAATCTAGTTTAGCTAGATTTACTTTGGAAGTATGCTAATTAAGACAATTGTAAATCTATATTGGCAGTTAACAAAGGCTTACTGCAAATTCACCTGTTTACGTAATTTATATCGAGTTTCAACTTTTGTTCACAAGAGTCAGGAGCAGACAGACTTACAGCCTGAGTACCAGTTGTTGCCATTCACACGGATTGACCGTGGTGCCAGTTGATATGGGTACGATAACCACCTTGTTTGCAACTTCCCCCAGAAAACAGAAATTAGAAACAGTTTTTATATGTTAGTAGTTGCCCCTCTTGACTTTCTTGACCTAAGCTGGAACTGACGGCCTCAGAATACAATGATCTTGTGTACCATCTTCAATTTTTATTCAACTGGCACTTAATAATAAATTGCAGCATACCTCAGTGTTCCAATAGCAGACTGAAAACTTGTCTTCTGATGTGTTGTCGTGCCCTTTGACAAGCCCGGTATCTGCCAAAGTTAAATGGTTATGAAGAAGTTTCTGAAAATTCCTGAAAGAGAGAAAGAAGTCATAACTCATTCAAAGTCATGCACTACTCGCAGCCCTCAGAAGCTTCACAAATCTATGTCATATGACTCCTTTTTCTCTTTAAAATCTTCTGCATGGAGGATTTATTAAATTTTCAGCTATAAACGATAATGGCATTAGTATAAATGAAGACGACCTTTGGCAACGTAAGTGTATTCAGCAGCTGGCTGTGGAAACTCTGTCTTGTTCTGTGCCTAATTACGCTCCATGCCTGATCATGCCTGAGGTTTCACACACATGTGCTGCAGTTTAATGGGATGTAAACTAACTTTTTTTCTTTCAAATGCTTAGGTGCTTTGTTTACAAAAATTAAGAATGGAGTTTAAGATTTTATATAAATAATAGGTTAGTGTTGACTACTGAAACGAGGTTTTTATAAGTTCAATAGAACTGATTGCAACACTTTTAGCAATTTTGAATGTTTTTAATGTTAAATTTGGTTGGGCTAAACACTATGTTAAAAGCCTTTTTAGTCATACTTTAATATAAAAATCTTACTACCTTTTCATTGTATGTTTACTGACAACAGCCCCCTTCCTTATGACTCTTAAGTTATCACTTTAAGAATGTTATTAATAAATGTTACTTGGAAAAATAGTTGAGTAATTGCTTTGTTCTGACTCATCTTTTTCTTACTGTGAATGTTCATGGCAAAACAGTTAACACTTCTTAATACCATGTAAATTAAAAATTCATGATACACCCCCATAAATATGTAGTTGCAGTTTTTATCCATCCTGCCTGATGTATCAAAGTTATGATTCTGTTTGTAAATACCTGTGCAGTGGGTTTGGTGGTTTGCTTTTTTACCCCCCTTTTTTCCCCCCCCCCCCCTTTTTTTTTTTTTTGCAGGGGCAGGGGGGAGAACTGAAGTGTCTGAATTGAGCTATGTCAATTTGGCCGGTCTAACTCTGCGAATGCTTATTGCACAGCTGTTAGTCATGGGGCTTGGTGCAAGTATACCTGACAATCAGGGAGTTAGAAATTTAATGTGCAAACTTCTTGATGGCAACAAGCTTACTTGCATTCAGCCTAGGAACTAGTGCTGTAGAAGCATTGTTCAACTGAATGTACTTAGCCTTAGGCATGAAGGGCAAGAAAAAGCCAAGGGGGGGGCAGAAATCACTGAAGCTGATTACACTGATATGTGATCCCTGAGACATGCCCAGAACCCTGTCATAGTGTGTTTGGATTTAACATGTTTTTAAGTATTTTAAGCCTCTTCTGCTCATACACTGGAGGTTCCAGTAGCATTGAGTCACAGTAATTGAGTACTTAACTGGGAGAACGCTCTCCAAAATGCTCTTTGAATTTACTTATTTTAAAAAGTAGAGAAGCTAGGAAGAACAGACGGCTGCCATCAGCAACCTTGTTTTTCACTGTCTGTTCCCCGTGCATTCCATTGCTAAGGCTGGTACGTTTGATGCTTCAGCAAAACTGCGCATCTCAGAGGCTTCAAAACTGCAAGCAGAAGTGAGGCATTTTCCTCTAAGGAAGAGGGTTACCATTACTAGTTAACAAGTGCTTGCCTGTTTAGATCGCTCCAGTCTTCACAATACAATTCCATTTAGACATAAGAAAAAGCTTTTCACTGTGAGTGTGGTCAAACACTGGAGCAGGGTCCCCAGAGAGGTTGTGGAGTCTCCGTCCTTGGAGACGCTCAAAATACAAGTGGACACAGGCCTGGCAGCCAGCTCTGAGCAGGGGGGTAGGGCTAGGCAATCTATAGAGGAGCCTTCCAACTCTACTGCTCTGATCAGTAAGGCATTTTTCTGCTCATTTTCCAGCTTGAATAATCTGCAAAATTTTTTTTGTCATAGAAAAACTCAAATTTTATCACCACAGGGTGAGTTTGATTTTCACTTGTAATAATTTACTTCTACTAAACTGTTAGATTTCAGCATATTTAAAAGTTGTCTTTGGATTTGTAATGCTTTCAGAAGCTAAAGCACTGTTTTATTTTCAAGTAGCCTATATAGCATATTTTACTATATGAATGACTTATCTAATTTTTGACAGAAGAAGGAGGAGAGCAACTCAGACTGTTATCCCTTTTGTCAGAAGTGAGTGATCAAAGTTCAAGGTTTTGTGTTCTTGAGAGAGGCTGATGATGGAGCCTCAGGTATCTCTGGAATCCCTCTTATTTATAAAGAATGTGCAAGATCCTGTTTCCTGGAACACAGAGGGCATCAAATAGCTGATAATAGTTTTTTGCTTGCAGCTCAAAGACCTTTTAACCAAAAAAGTGTTTAGATAAAAGAGCTCCCTTTCAGCTTTTTCTTCGGAGTGTGCTCGCAGGTATTCTGCTGTCTGGTTTTCTGTCCCCTCTCCTTGCTCGGGCACATACTCTCCTCCACTTTTCTATTTGGGGCAATACCAGCATGTTTGAAAGTGTCTTGGCACATTACTTTGTCTTGGGCAATAATATGTGCCTCTGTTCCAGTATGGAGACCAGCGTTCATGAGGAGGTTTAATCTTTCGGACTCTCTTAAAGCAAATGCAGCAGTCATACCCACCAGCTCAATCCACCAGTAGCAGTAATTTAAAACACTAGTTTATCTTCTGCACATCCTTATCTGTGTTACGCTCCCACTGACTTTCTGGGGTTGCATTAATGTTGGTGCAACAGCCTGGCTTAGATTTGAAAAACAAAAAAAGTAAAGGAAGTTTTTTACAGTTTTATCGGAAGCTGAAATGCGCTCGTGCTGGCTCTCCCCGTGTTTTGCAGAAAGACTACCAGAATATATTAGCTTCTGTATTGTACATGCGTGGGAATACAAGGAAAGAAAACGGGTATTGGTACATGTAAAAGTTCAACAATAACTCAGTTACTTTAATTTCAGGCTTTGTTGTGATGTGTCCCTATCAAAGCTACAAGAAAAATGGGGTCCTTTCTTTCAAAAGGTAACAGAGACTATGCTGGGAAATTGATCCATCCGCAGGGATTTAAGGCAACTAACTGCAAAAAATTAGCAAACAGGTATTTCTCTGGTAGGTGAGTATTTCTCTGGTAGCTGATTTAAAAAATTTTAAAAGTAAATTTACAGTATAGTAACAATGGAAAAAAGAGCAAATGTATGCCCATTGGTACCTTTTTTCTCTAGGAAGTGGAACAGCAAGCCTCTGCAGGACAAAGTGACACTGT